GTGCCTCATGGTATCCGGAAGCCTATTTTGAGAAGAAAAGCATACGAAATTTTGTTAGGCAATGCACTAGGGAGGTCTAGTGAAACTTTCCCTAGAGAGTCTCGAAGTAGAACTTTGCTGTATAACTTCACTTGAAGTTGAGGCCATTTGTTCTCTGCTTCATTGATTAATTTGGATCAAATTGTTACAATTTTTAAATGAACTTAGAGGAACAAGAAGAATAAGAGTGGGCGTTAATCTCCTTTTCCAAGCAAATGGCTACTCTTAATACCTTTGGGAGCTCAGCTTTTCATCTTCTGCCAATAGGCAGTATCAGGAGTAGAGGCATGCAAGCCATAAAGTAGTTCCTAGATGCATCTTTTGTTCACACTTGACCCACATTGCAGATGGCATTTAAATCAAGACAGTCAGCATTTCAAATGCCAAAACACTGTGGCAGCAAAGCAAAGCATAATTTCTATGTCCCTTAAATCTTCAGATCACTGTCTCAAATGCAACATGAATGAATAATAATTAGGAGTGGCTTTTCTTGGTAAATGCCAAATAAATTTGGAGGTCTCAAGCTATTTCTTGTAGGTGCTGATGCTGTGAATTTCATCACTGAGCCAGTATTGCTATTACCGTGTTTTATGATTCCACGTTTTAGGACAGAATTAGAGTCCATTGGCAGAGACTGATTTTACTCAGACTGCTGCACTGCACTGTTTTCCTGGGTAAAGGAAGGTGTTACCACCTTCTCACGGGCACTGAAATTTTGCAGAAAAGTTGAGGGGGTGGGGTGGGCAGAGGGGAAGTCAAAGGATTTGTCATATGAAAGGACGGTGTTAGGTGGTTTCAAGTTTAAATCTAATCCACTTCTAAAAGTGTGAAAGCTTGATTAAGACTTTAGATTATACGCGTTATGGGGGAGAGTCTGCGTCTTGTGTCTTCTGTAAAATAAGTAGTTCACATATGTTCTTCATGTTATAAGTAGTACGTTCTATTTGACAGGTGAGACCTCTGCCTCCGCATAGCAGTAAAGCATGCCTTTTGTCATCCTTGTTTTGCCTAGTCATTCTTTTCACAACATTTTTCCTAAACCATGATTCACTTGAAGCTAAGATGTCCCCAAGGCTTTAAACAGTTCAATACAACTGCCTACAAATTTTCTGCAAGGGAGGTTACACAAGAATGCAGTAATTGGAGTAGATATTTCCTTACACTGAAAAGCAGAATGTTCTTTAACCTTTCCTTTAGCGTGGTTCACCCAGATCTTCAAACTGGCTAGCAAGCAGTATTACTAGTTTCTGACACAGCTGTCATTGCCAACAGTCAAATCTCTTGGCTTACTGTGCCCTGTTCCGTAAGCCTGCCTGTGAATTAGTCCTTAATGTCCTAGAAAAAAGAAAAAAAAAAAGCATTGGAAAGCTTTATCTGAATTAGTCATAAAAAAAAGACTTCAGTGTAAGCCATGACATCAGTTGTTTTCTCCTAAAATTAGTGACTACTTCTTGCAGACAGTGCTGCGCAACAGTCAAGTCTGACAACACGACTAACCTAAATCGATCTATAACCCAGATCTACAAAGATACTTTGAACCCCAAGCCTCTGACCTCAGTGGTATTTAATCACCTAAAAAGGAATTTGATCATTCCTTTATGGAGCTGACCTTTTGTTTTTCTACATTTCGTGTATACTTTTTAAACACTTTTGGCTGATATATATGAACAACATGTTACCAATTCTAAGTCTAGGATTTGAATTTATAGAAGAGGGTATGCTTTCGGGAAAGAAACATATGCAAATCCTAATATGATTTTATTTTTCTTCAAGTTGAAAGCACAGATAATTTTTTATATTACAAAGTAATTAACTTGTACTAAGCCAGAAAATGAAAGTGACCTGACAACTG